TAACAAAAATGAGAAACTGCCCCTATTTATGTTTGCCAAAAGTACTACCTCCAACACTCTGGAGTAAGGAAATTGTCATTATATTTTGCAATTTCTTGGATTTCAACTCTCTTAATAAAATAACCACTTTCCTATCGTCAAGGAATTTTTTTCAAAGTTCCAATTTCATTAAGAATGTATAAAAGGTAGTATGTCTTCCTGTCTTTTAGATGAAAAGAAGATTTGGTGATCAGTTAATTGTCTATCAACTTAACTTCATTTAAAGAGCTCTGGACATTTTAGAAAAAAAAAAAAGGCTGGAATTATCAATGCCCATTAACAAGTCTTCAAAACTGATAAAAATGAATTCTCCCAGGATTTGCAACATATTCAAATTATTGATAATTCTTCTACTGAAAACTGAAAAAGGATGCATAATAGACTTCAGAAATATTAGTAAAAAATTAGGTTTTCTAATTTCTCTCTCATTTCATTTAAAGAGAAGGCTGAATACAAAGAAATTATGTTGGCTTTGAAAAGCAGAGTTAGAAGTATGATTTTTTTTATCACTTTTGCAAAGTACGTGAAGAATAGACCGTTTAAATACACTGAAACTGTGCCTTTTTTGCCTTTTTTTTTTTCCTCATATATCTGAATACAACCTTAAATGCTTAGGTAACAACTCAAGGCACTAGAATGGACCTTTGATCATATTACAAGAGTACAGAGATTACACATGAAGTACTTAAATATCAAAAGTCTCAATAAGTTAACTGAAAAAATAAGGAAAAGAAAATATATCATTCCATTGGCACGAATAGAAGCAGGGTTTAATCCTGTAATATCTCTCAGCTTTTGAGACTGAAGATTCACCTCTCATTTATGCCCAAAGGCTTTCTGCTGGCAATTGCTTCTTGCAAGAATGCATGACTTTTCTCACATTTTATCCTTACAAACTCATCAGTAACTGGGCTGTTTGAAAACTTTTCTCCTCTTTGTACTCACTCTCATAAAGAACCAATATCTACTTCTGGCAACAATAATCACAGTTTGTTATTGGATGCACAAACCATGGTTCTCTTCATGCATTAAAAAGAAAACACATATAGTAAAAAAATGGTAAAATATTTAGGAAAAAAAATATTAAAAGTACTGTTACAAATATGCCTGTTAAACTTCTTGCCTTATTGCAGTCTGATTATCTGAACCTTGGAAATAGGAAATCTGTACTTCTCAAACTGAGCTTTGCTTAATGCTGTATACAGTTACTGATCCTCTATTAAACATGACAGCAGTGAGGGATTCGGGGTTATTTGAGCTGTAATCCCTACCATTCTCTGTGAATAAAGCAGGAGGTAACAGACTGTGGTGGTAACACAGAGAACATGTTTATGAGAAAACCCAGCATTTTTTCAGCTTTGGCTTCTAAATAGCTTTGGAAAATATATGGCACATTAAAATATATGACGAGAATAAGAGTTTTATTCTAAGCAGTTTACACTTGAAGAATTTCCCTGGATGCTCAGAACACTCAGAAAATAGCAACTACGTTCAGAATTTCAAGGTCAAGCTAAGACAGCACACACTGTGGTTGAGGCACAAAAAATTGAGATGAGCACTGTGCATGGGTTGGTGGACAGATTGTACCCAGAGCCCCAGATCAGTACTCGAGAGACATGAAAACAAACTGCTATCATCTTGATAAAGAGTCATGGAGTATTTCAGGTGAAGCCTGTAATGGATTTTACCTTCCATACAGACCAGGTAACCACACAGACTTTTCTTGAACTAGCCAGCTGAACAAGTCAAATGCACTGATGGAAGGCATTGTAATACATTAAAATGATGAAGACCCGGTAAAAGAACAAATATGAATTTCCAGGCACTGACTAACTGTAATCAAATTATCCAGCATGTCAAGGTGGCTATGAAAATAATCCATGCTGCACCACGCTGCAAAGGTGGAGCACCCCATGTACCTTACAAACACTTGAAGCTCAGGCTCTGTTTTAAAGACAGAAAGGTCAGTCACTCATCTGACTCAGTGCTGAAATCAATGGAGCAATCCTGATTGACATCAGCTGCTGATCCTGCTAATGAAGACAGGGAAGTTTTCTGATTCACTTTTACCTCGGGAGCTGCCCTAAGAACTAGTCTTTTGCAATTTAATGGCAATGGATATGCATATTCTCTTACTACCGTATAACATTAAACTGATGACATCACTCTCCCTTTTGGCCACTCAAACTCTGCTGGAGGACACTGTGACAATGCAGCACATCTCAGACTGCAGGGCTGAACACACTGTTACATTGCAGTTGCTGGTATTAAAATATTATGCCTGAAATTAATGCATTACACCTTTCAGACTAATGTTCTCTAAATCAGACTTAATTTATCCTGGGGTATTTTTAGGTAAAAATACATCCTCACAAGCAATGAAATGATCAGCACTTTTCCCCCAGATGCTCTAATATGGAATAAAGCCTATGCAGTAATTAATATTTATGAAGTGAATGAGTTCCTGTTAAACCCTAAATCACAAACATACGGGATTTGAACTATAAAAATGCAAACCCAAACCAATATAATAGAAATATATTTACATACATATTAATTGTGAACTTTGGTCAAGTTGTTATATATGGCCTTAAGCGAATTCAAAATTAATAATTACACAGGTCTATAAACTTATGTATTGATCGATGTGATTTCTAGATTAGGCATATACAGCAGAGGAAGTTTCATTTGAGTACATTAGAGCACCTTTGAAACTTGATCAGCAAAAATTAGATCTTATGCCCTTCTGTTGCCAATACTACCTTCTTACCACTCTCACGAGTGATTTCCCCCATTGGAATTCAGAGAAAACATTATGCACAGAAGGCTTCTTGCAAGATTAAATAATTATGATTCAACCTGTGCCCTAGGAAGAGATAGTTTTACCCATTCCTAAAAATGAAAACAACATAGAGGGTTCCTGGAACATTCTGTATTAACTAAGCAGTGGAAGAAGAGTAAATAACAGGTTTTTATGTAGTAATTTTTATCATCAGATTTTGAATTGCTTTATAAAAATTGCTGTTCTACATATAAGCCACAAATAAAAAAGTAAAGGTTTACAATCCTTCATATGGTGAATGATGCTTAAAATGTTTCAGCATCAGAAAGAAATTATGTGATTTAGCAACATGAGATATTTATTTAAGAGCTCCTATATGAATTCAATAGGCCAACTTCAGGTACCCAAGACAGAAAATGTTTCCTTTCATAAGGGCATAAAAAAGATCCATAAGAAATGTGAACTAAATCAAGCTAAATATGGTAATGCCTCCTGAAACAATTATTAATGTTTTATTAGCATTTGTTACTTCCTTCCAGAACCCTGCATAATGCCATCAACAGCTTTGCTGGAATGTAGTTGAGTCACTACGACTGATCAGCTCCATGAAAGTTGTGTTTGTTTCATTGATAATGTGTAAAAAATAGGAGAAAAAAACTTTCTCCCTCTTGTCCTGGTTACTCAAGAAGCTGCCTTAAATCTGTTCAAGATAGGAGGATAGGAGTGGGTGAGGATGAAGTGTTCACTTGCCCCTTCTCTTCAAGCAGACTGCTGGAGAATTTGGTTGGTGCAAGGACTCCAGGCATAGTAACCACAGAACATTTTACACTCTCTCAAATATGTCATCACATTTTTTTCCACCCATACTGAAGGCATTCTCCCAGAGAATATTGTTTGTATCAACTAAGCTGTTTAATGTCTTTTTTCCTCTCTTTACTAAAAATATGAATCTATTTGACTTCACAACTCTCCTATCTTTTGAGCATCAAGAAAAGAAGAGCTGCTTGAGAAAGTTGCAGGTAGAGTGGAATTTTAGACAAATCAGCTAGCTGCAAGTAAATAATTTAGCTCTGGGCCTCAGGCATTACCTTTTATTCAAAGAGGCGTAATTGATAATGAATGCTAGCAGAGTAATTTACAAAATGTTAACTATGCAATAGCAGAGCATCCTGTTACAAAGTAAGATAATTATTTTACATACCAGAACCTCAAAAGTAAATAGATGAATGCACAGAATCTTAAATGTTGTTAGCAGATTAATGGGCAGATGAAGGATATTGGAGGCAATGTAATCCCTCAAAATGTTTAGAAAAAAAAAAAGGGGGAAAAAAAAATGTGTTCCAGCTTATTAAGAACACACCTTTATTTGCTTTTATTTTCCTCATTAAATCAAAAATTCTCTGCTGCACTGGGGAACCACACTAGGATCCGTTTACACCGTCATTAGCAACACGAATGATGGGGTAGAGCACACACTGAGCAAGTCTGCAGGTGACACAAAGCTGGGAGTAGTGCCTGACGTGCCAGAGGCTTGTGCTGCCATCCAGAGGGACCACAGAGGGCCTGTGGGCCAGCCCCATGCAGAGGGGTACAAAGTGCATCCCGTGCAGTTGAGAAGGATAAGCTCAAAGTCCTGCACCCACGGAGGAACAAACCCTTGCACCAGTATGGGTTGGGGAGCACCCAGCTGGAAAGGACCTTGGGCTTCTGGGTGCAACAAACTGAACATGAGCCAGAGTGTGCCCCTCAAGGCAGAGGAGTATCTTGGGCTGCTTTAAGGCCAGCAGGCTGAGGTGGGTGATCCTTCCCCTCCGCTTGGCACTATCGAAGCCAATCCTGGAGTATTGTGTCTCGGTCTGGACTTCCCAGTGCAAGAGACACGTGGATGTACTGGAGCAAGTCCAACAAAGGATAACAAAAATTTTTAATGTGCTGGAGCACCTCTCCTGTGGTGAAAGGCTGAGAAAACTGGGACTGTTCAGCCCAGGAAAGACACGAGGGAATCTTATCAGTGTGACAAATATCTGAAGGGAGGGTGCAAAGATAGACCCAGGCTCTTATCAGTGGTGCCCAGTGGCAGGATCGGAGGTGATAGGCACAAAAGTGAGCACATGAGGTTCTCTCTGAACATCAGGAAACACTTTTTTCCTGTGAAGGTGACTGAGCACTGGCACAGGTTGCCCAGAGAGGCTGTGGAGTCTCCTTCCCAGGGGTGTACAAGAGCCTGGTCCTGAGCAGCTCCTGAGCTATGGGTTATGGATGGCCCTGTTTGAGCAGGTAACACAAGGTGACCTCCAGAGATCACTTCCAGCTTCAACCATTCTGTGATGCAGTTATACAGACCCCATGCCTTCTCCCTATAGGAAAGCAGCTCTACTCTAGTCATGTGTTGAAGGAATATCCCATACTGTGTCTTTCATCTGCATCTTCCCCGATTCTGCAGTTACAAAAGAAATGTGGTGGGTGTTTCTACCACAGCAACTTTTCAGCTGACTTCTTTCAATTATCAAGGTAGGTGATTACTAAATACCTTGGGCTCTCCTCCCCAATCTGTCCCAGCTGGAAGACTCAGTAACCTGCTTCTTTCACTGGAAATGTTCTTGGACACCTTTGCAAAGTAAATAAATGAGCATCGGGTCTGTAGGATGTTGTTTAGAGGCAAAAGTTTTTTTCTGCAATACGTGTATCTCTACACTGCTATACACTTGTCAGTACTGCTGAAAAAGAACTCTGCAGATCCAAGATACATCACCACTTGTCTGTCTAAAAAATAGGATGTTTACTCTGCCAGGAACCACATGGCTGACCAGGAATTAATTTGGAATCATTTCCTGGACTAGGCTGAGGAAAAAGACAAGCAGGACTAATGTAAAGAAGCATAATTAATCACAGTTAATTGACTATTTACTTATTTATTTATTTCAATGTGGTTTATAACTCTCAGTTAAAGATAATCTGTAAATTAGCATTTTGGGTTTTGCATCCTTCTGTTTTGTTCAGGCAGTGTCTGCCTATTTATTCCCTCATGGTGGTGTTTCCATAATGTAAGCCTCTAATTTCAGCCTGCTAAACACAAGTGAAGATCTCTTGTTTAGCTCTCCTGTGATAAAGAAAACAGAAATGAAATTAAAACACTCACCAATGTTCCCTTATGAAAACATGCTCTGTTCAGCTGTTGAGGATGATGAAAAGCAGCAGGTCTTGGCATAGAAGTAACTGTGGAGGAGGTCAGTCCATGCCTCTAAAATCTATTTGTGACATCAAAGCCATGCCAAGGAAGCAGAGAGTGTGTGAAGGGGAAACAGGAGCTCTATTTCACTCTGCTAATCTAATAAGGATGCATCTACCAGGGACATAATTCAGACCTTCTCACTATGAGCACCAAGGAACTCAGGGGCCATCTGTCAGCAGTGGTTAAAGGCTCTCCAGGGCTGTCTCTCACACAGCAGAGTGTGTGACCAACTGAACTTAATCTTCCTGCTAAAGTAACCTCTTCAAAATCTTTTAATTGCTCTCTAGAAAACCACAGCTGGCCTGTCACTGAGAATGGCCAATCTCATCCAACCCCTAACTTAAACAGAAGAAACAGAGAACTTAATTTTCAACAACAGCAGTCACACAAGTTTAAAACTATCTAACTATAAGTGGAAATTAATTAGGGTTAACTATAAGTGGGAATTAATAGGTATCTAACTATAAGTGAAATTGACTACCAAAGCACTCAACCTCACATTGCTTTTTTATCACCTTACTGTTCTCTTCCAGTAGGAAAGACACACTAAGACAAAGTTCCTACCCAGCCTGTCCACAAAGACATGCCATAATATGGGGGATCAGCTCAGCAATGAGCTTAAAGAAAGACAGTAATAACTAAGTCTAACATTTACTATTGGGTGCTGAAGCACAGGGATCTCAGCCCTGTCTTCAGTAATTGTGAGAAGCTAAAAAACAATATTTTCATGGTAGGATGGTTGAATTTCAAGCACAGTATGCTTTAGAGTGCTTTTTAAGGCACTTGACAATGAAATAATGAGGAGTTTTACCTTGGATTGACTTGCACATAGTGTGCACACTCAGACACATACCTGGTTCTCCGTAGGTGAATGAACACACTACCCACATCTTAGCTTTAAGGGAATAAATTTATCCTGTGTGGGACTGATTGCAGACACCAAAGATGAATGATAACCATCATATTATAGCTAAACTCAAGAACCCTGCACCAAGCTTACATAACTGGGGTTGGCACTGAGGAGCTGCACAGATGGGAGGAGTCCTCCCCCACCATCTGCAAGATTTGCTGCACCTGTAGCAGCAGCTGCTTTGATGAACACCAAACCCCTCATATCCTCCCCTTCAGAACAAAAGAAAAAAGGTCTCAGCAATGGCAAAACTTCCAGGTTTATATGTCTGTGGTGCCTATTCCCTTCCTGTGAGTCTTATCCCATGCAGAAGCATAAATCTCTGCCTTACTTCCTGTAACTAAAGATCTTTGAAAATGGCAATGTTGACTGAGTGGAGAATTAGTCTGGGGAGAAGGGTGAAATACAAGATAAACTTTGCACTGAATAAAGTTTGGCAGATAACAAAAACACACATTCATCCAAATTGCAGGTATTTTCTTAAACCTAGAGAATACTGCTATTTCAACCATACAGACTGATTTGATTTTAAAACATAAAAAAATTTTCTTAGAAATTTTGGCCTAACACCACCAAAAGCATCAATATTATATAAAATATGCATTATGAAATGCATACAGGCATGCATACACAGGCATATATTAAAATTGAAAGCTGAGATATTTTCTCATCTAGAAATTCAAAACAAAAATAAGAAAGCATAACCAAAATATTCGTATTTGAATCACCTTGCATTTTTCAGGTGGCAGATTATTAAATTGATACTTGTATAGCCTCAGTGTAAAAACCAAATTTCTCAAATGGAACCTCATTCATCATCAAGTTTGGGCCAAGACCACTTTTATGTATAATGCTTGATTAAAACCTGTGACAGCAGCAACTCCAGGGTTTTTTTTTTAAAAAAAAAAACAAACAAAAAACCAAATAAACAAAAAACACTAACAAAATCAAGATAGTAACTTTCAGCAAACATTGCTTTGAGGAAAGTAAGTCAAAACAGTTAAAAGGCCTAAGCAGATACTTCTGTACAGCTGATCCAGGATAATCACCCTGACTCTGCTCCTTCATGCCTTAAAGCAAAGCAAACACAAGGGCTTTTGAACTCCTTTGATATAAACTCAGCTGTTTTTCATTGTACATTCACATACTAAGGACAAAACACTTCTGTGCAATTTGGGAATTCTGTACTAGGAAATGACTGGTGCCGAGTTAAAATGACATAGAAACCAATAAAAGTTATGGGGAGAGAGCTCATGACAGCACCACGTCGACAATAAAATGAGTACCAGTTATACTCACTCCCACCCCGGGGCACAGCTGTTCATCACTCGAGATCACTGAAGCTGTGACAGCATCAGACAGACTGACAGCTGCCTGTTGCATAATGGAAAGCAGAGAGACAGCATGTGCTTTGCTAGCTTCCAGCTAGGAGGAGTAAACAAACAAGCCAAAGGGGTGTACAGCCATTTGTGTATAGGCTGTGATTGACTGAAGGGCTGTGAAACTTTTGCAGAGAAGGCCCCAGACAAGGCATATGCCTTCATGGCACTTAGTTTAATTTTAAACTGGACATACAGATTAAGTTTACTAAAACATTCACAAAACTAAACTGGAGAACCAGTTTTGGTTGAGTTATTGAACTCCATATTTGAACAGTGTTTAGGCTCATCAGAGCTGCATAATTTTCAGATAACACCGATTCAAATTTACCTTTGATGTTTTACATTGATTTTTTTTTTCTTGTTTGTTTTGTCTGAGTTTTACAAGGAGCTTTAAGAAAAACAAACAAGAGGAGATTTTTATAAATCTGTATCAATAGCTGCATTACTCCTCTGAGAAAGCACCAGTAGCTTTGGAACAACTAAGAGTCACCTGCCCTCCCATGAACATGGGACTCAGCCATGCTCTCCTTTCCAGAACAATACTATTCAGAGTCTGGCCTACACTGAGGCTAATTTTTGGGGAAAAAATTAACAGGTATTAAAGTATTACTGTAAATCATATTTGAAGTGGTCCTTAATAGGTCTCATTTCCTCTCATGATTGGTATCCCAAGTGAAATGGATTTGCAATCCTCCTCTACTAGGTGCCCTTCTCTCACTTTATCCCCCACAACTACTAAGAGGCCTCAGCAGATCAGTCATACAAGGATTATGATAATGAATATTCTTTACCTTCCACAAGCTTCAACATACTCTGTTTCCTGCAGGACAGTGTGCATATCTGCTGGAGGAAGGAGTGAGATTCCTTTGTATTTGGTGTCTTTATTTTAAGACCCTAATGAGACTTGTTTTTATATTTAATACTCTGCCATGGCCTTGTCACCATTATGGGATTACCACAGATAAAAATGTGAATTTTTTTAAACCAACAAGTCTTTGCACACTAGAGTGACATTTCCCACCACATGAGTGGAAGACAACACATTCTTTATTGTCTGTCATCCACTGGGGCCACTTGTGCGACCATCTCAGAATCTCCCAGTTGAAACAAAGACTCAGAATCATTACTCTGATGGTTAAAAAGGTTGCCAAAGTTGTACTAGGTACAGCTGGTGGATTAATAAACATTCCCCATCACAAGCCTGGCCCATGCTCTGTCCTGGCTTGACGTGTCCAGTGTTGCTGCTGGAGACCAAGCTGCTACATGCTCATCATGTCTTTGTGATTTGGATTTCAAATTATAGCAAACTAGAAAAAAGGGTAGGCAATGGAAACAGACTGCAACACTGTAGATTTCCAGTGCTAGAAAAAAAGACTTCACCATGAGAGCTGTCATAGATTGGGAAAAGGTGCCCAAGGATGTTATGAAATCTTTCGCCTTGGAAAAGTTCAAAATTTGACAAAACAAGACAGTGAGCAACCTGAGCAGCACAGGCCCTGTTTTGAGCAAGGATTTGGATGGAATTGTCTGCATATATTTTTATTGATTGTTACAATATTGATTATTTTTATTTCAACATACCAAGTGCAATCTGCACTAACAACAACTCGCTTGACATTTTTCAAATACAATTTTTTCATTTTTGTAACATTTCCCTTCATTAGTTACATGTATGATTACAGAATAGAAGATATTTTAGTGGAGTCATACCCCAAATCACTTGGGTGATACCATACATGAATTCTTGCAAAATTGCTATTTCATGAGGCAAAAGCAAAATAATGTATTTCTACATATGTTCTTTGGTTTCTAATTTTTGGGGTTGTCCTGTGTGGGGTCAGGAGTTGGACTTTATGATCCTTGTGGGTCCCTTCCATCTCAGAATATTCTATAATTTTATGTTTTATCTGTGGGTTCATAGAGATGCCTGGTACATGTGGTATTATTCATTCTGTCCTATACAACAAAAGGATTCTGACCATCATCTGCATTAACCAGAAAATACAGCTGTTCTATTTTAAGGAAAAAAATCTTTAAAAGTCACTGTATTAAGTAACATAGTGTATGGAATTGCAATTCTTTCCCTATATACTGTTTTCATTTGTATATCATTGAGTTTCTTGGTAATTACAATCCCTTACACATCCATTTACACCACAGTGGTGGCACAGGTAATTTATAAAAATCAAATCTAAAGTGCTATAGTAGTCAAGAGACAGAATGAATCATGTTTCACACAGTTGGAGAATTTGCTATGATTAATTAAAGATTTGCAGCCAGACTTTTCTTGCTTTCATAACTTAAAGTGCAAAATACAAATTAAATATGAAGGTTCGAAGACAGTGATTTTCTGAGAAAGGTCTTCTGCCAAGAATTCAGGAAAAGAGGTGCAAAATATTTTACAGTCTCTCAGAGAAGGCTACAGAACATAATATTCTGAAGAGTAACACTGAAATGTTCTCATAATAAAAAAAATGAAAGAGGAAGAAACAAGCTTTTTGTTTAGGTTAAGAATAGTTAGGGTAAAGCTCATGTATTCACTAAGTTGTTTTTCCCTGCCCTTGCTATCAGCCCAATTAAGAAATCTGCAGAACACTGTCCCCCTATTAGTTTGAGTCAAGAGGAATTTCACCACTGATCTTATCAATAGTAGAGACAGAGGAATGGTGGGCAAGATTTTGATAACCCTGTCTCTGAACAGAATTCAGGGAAGCCTTTGGAAGAGATATAAACACACTGTGAACATGGGGCTTTATTCTGATTTCACCAGGACCAGTTTAAATACTTCAGTAGATATAAACTGAACAAAAATGGGCATTGTAGAGGAATATCTTCAGATTTCTGCATAAAGTAAACTTCTCAGTGATAGATTTCTTCTACTAAAGATTAGCAGGTTCTGAGAGAAATTCCTTCTGCAGTGATGGAGGCTGCCAGTACAGCACTCATCAGATCTGACAACAGGGATGCCAAGAGAGAGCAGAATACGTACTCTAGGTGTGTGGCAGACCTGACAATATGAGATCTGTAGGAGCACCAATAAACTCATCATTTCATTTCAGAAA